AGGAAAGAGGAAGGAAGGAAATAGAAGGGAGAGGAAGGAAGGAAATTAAATTGAGAGGGAGAGAGGAAGGGAGGGAGGGAGGTTAGGGAAGTGGGTAGAAGGAGCAAAACCGGGGGAGGAGTAGGAACACAAAGGAAGGAAGAAAAGAAGGAAGGAAGGACTAGGGAAGGGATAGGAGGAGGAAAAGTGGAGTAGGTGTAGAAACAGAGAGGTGGGAGGAAGAATGGAAGAAGAAAGGAAGGGAGGGGTGGAAAGAAGGAAAGGGGAGGAGAGGGGTGAGAAGGGAAAGGGGAAAGGGAGAAAGAGGGGGGGAAGGGTGGAGGGGAAGAGAAGGGGGATGAGGAACAGAGGGGGAAGAATGGCTGGGCGGAAGTAAGTCGAAGGAGAAGAAGAGAGGAGGAAGAAGGAGCGGAGGAGAGGAAGGAGAGGAAGACTGGGGAAGGAATCCTTTGTATATTTGGCAGCTTGCTCTTCTTTAAAGAGACTGGACTGCCATTTGTCAGAAATGGTGCCTGGGCAGGGGGTTGGACTAGATGACCTACAAGGTCCCTTCCAAAACTCTGTCAATCTGTATCTAAAGGGAGTTTCTTCCTGTCCAGGAACGCTCCACGCATCTCTTCCACCCAAGATTGCCACCGACCTAAGGGGAATCCACTCCCTACTCTTCCCCTGGCCCTTCTCCTCCCGCCTAGAAGTAGGGATACTCGGGAACAATTCGAATAAGATGCTAATTGCTGGATGCAGAGAAAGAGAGACAGTTGCCTCCGTGGCATTTTAAACGGGAGGCCAAGGCGATTTTCATTTCCACCCCAGAATATATGAACCTGTGATGTCTGGTCTGGGCCAGAAAGCATGCGGAAGGATTATCTGCTTACAATATTATTTTTCTATTCCATTTCTACCGTGGGCCATTCCAGAAAAGACTTGGAACTTTGGCATCAAAATGGAGAGGGAAAACATGATTTCTTTGGTCTTGGAAAGACAGGCCCTCGTAGCAAAGCCAGGCTGGAAACCCACAGAGTAATTCAGTTTCCTTGCTAAGCAGAGGATTTTGGCTGGTTTGCATTCTCTTAAGTGGTTTCTTGTAAAGAAAGAAAGAAAGAAAGAAAGAAAGAAAGAAAGAAAGAAAGAAAGAAAGAAAGAAAGAAAGAAAGAAAGAAAGAAAGAAAGAAAGAAAGAAAGAAAGAAAATATTAACCTATCCTCCTTCTGTGGTGAACAAGGAAGAATTGTGGCCTACCACTATCAGACTCAGATAGTGAAGAACAGGAGTGACATTCAAAATTTTTCCTGACTTGCTCTGTGGGCATAGCTTGGTATACTTGGTATAATAGTAATAGCAACCGGGGTGATTTTTTACCGATTCAAATCATCCCTACCACCTTTCCGGAGGTGGGCCGATGTCGTTGAATTTCACCCCCGGTGAGGAGGTCGGCGAGGAACATGGACCAGTCTTGGAGTCTGGGGTAGGGTCTGATGAGGGCTCTGTGTTAGAAGCAGAGATGGGGCCAGGGCCATCCGACCGTTATCAGCTGCCTTCGGAGTCGGAGATCAGTGGGGAAGAAGAACAGCTGGAGCCTGTTCCCAATGTGCGCGTATGCGCAGAGCTGCCAGGAGAAGGGAACAGTTAAGGAACAAGATTCGACTCTGGAATAAAGCCACAGGTGAACGGTGAATGGCCCCTCCCACAGGGAATAAAGAGGAGCAAAAGGGGCGTGGTGTTTTGCAGGAGACAATTCGCTCAATTCATTAGGGTGAAGATCTGTTCCTGACTTTTTGCCAAGTCATTGCTGCTACAGCATGGCGTTTGAAAGCTATCGGCCTGGTAACTCTCCAAGCTCGATAAAGGTCTGTTGTTGTGAAATCTCATAAAAGACTGTTGGACGGGACTTTGCTGGAGAGGAACTCACTTTAACCCAACTAAAAAAGGTTTTTTTTTATCAGGACGAGGAGTCAGCTTCATGATCTTAGAAAGCCTAAGTCAGAACACTTCCGTGTGCTAGGATCTCTGCAATTTACTGATTCTATTAACCCCGGGCCGAATGCATGGAGGCCTTGCTTTCCCAACGTCGGCTTCCAATATCTGCGGCCTTCAGATGGGGGGGGGGGTCTCTTTTTGTTCTTGTCGATTGCAAGAGATGATGAGGAAAAAATGCCGTCCTTGCCTACAGCTCGAGAAGGGGAAACTGTACATTTGCAGCTCATTGATATTCCAAAAACACAATTCTCTTCTCTTCGCAGAATCTCCAGCACCAACGAATCCATGGAAACGGAGGAAAGCCAGGTAAAAGCAACAAGTAAATTATTTTTCCCGGAACAAGGAATGCAGACCTTTTTAAAAGAGTCCTAAATTGAAAACTAACTCTCAATCTCTCTCTCTCTCTCTCTCTCTCTCTCTCTCTCTCTCTCTGTGTGTGTGTGTGTGTGTGTGTGTATGTACACACCCGCCTTTGGAGTCAACCGCCTGGAATAATCCTCGTAGTTTTCTTGCCAAGCTTTTTCAAAAGTGGCTTGCCCTTGACTCCTTCCTAGGGCTGAAAGAGGCAGGGGTGGCCCAAGGCAGGACTAGAACTCACAGTCTCCTGGTTTCTGGCCTTCTGCCATCACCCCTCCTACCTCAATGGCTTCCCAACCTTAGCCATTTTAAGATGCGTGGACTTGAACTCCCAGAACACCACAGCCAGAGTTGGAAGGGACTTTGGAGGTCTTCTAGTCCACACCCCAGTGCTCAAGCAGGAAACCCTGTAACGGTGGTGGGATTCCATTTTTTGTTTTTACTACCGGTTCTGTGGGCGTGGCCTGGTGGGTGGGGCAGGGGAAGGTTACTGCAAAATCCCCATTCTCTCCCCTACCCCTATCAGTTCTCCAGAACTGGTCAGAACCTGCTTAATGCCACCTCTGGGGGTGACTACTTCTTCTTTCCGGCAGCCCCTCAAATATTGGAAAACTGCTATCGTGTCACCCCTACTCCTTCCTTTCATTAGAGTAGACATACCCAATTCCTGCACCCGTTCTTCATATATTTTAGCTTGCTGTCCTCAAGTAGGTCCCCATTTCCATGTAGGTGTTGGAAGCAATATCCACCAGGCTCAGTTCCAAGCCGTGAGAAAGGTACCTGAAGGCCGGACAAGGAATAATGGATGGAAACTGAACAAGAAGAGATTCAACCTGGAAATAAGGAGGAATTTTCTGACAGGGAGAGCAATCAACCCATGGAACAGAAGTTGCGTTCGGAAGTTGTAGGAGCTTCATCCCTGGAAGTTTTCAAGAAGAGACTGGACTGCCGTCTATCAGAAATGGTGTAGGGTCTCCTGCTTGGATGTGGGGTTGGACTAGATGACCTACAAGGTCCCTTCCAATTCTGTTAATCTGGGGCTCAATGGAAGACAGAGAATAGATGGGGTTGGCGGGGCCAGTCAGAGGTGGGATTGCCTGGTTCTCCGAACTACTCAAAATTTCTGCTACTGGTTCTTCAGAACTGGTCAGAACTGGCTGAATACCACCTCTGCCCATTTGGGACAAAAGGCTGTCAGATCTTTTTTTAAAAGCCTCCAATGATGACGCTCCCACCACTTCCAAGGGCAACTTCTGTACCATGGGTTGATTGTTGTTCTCACTGTCAGAAAATTCCTCCTTATTTCCAGTCTGACTCTCTCCTTGTTCAGTTTCCATCCATTATTCTTTGTCTGGCCTTTGGGTGCTTTAGAAAATAGCTTGACCCCTTCCTCCTCTCTGGGGCAGCCCCTCAAATATTGGAAGACTTCTATCCTGTCTCCCCTGGTCCTTCTCTTCACTAAACCAGCCATTCCCAGTTCCTGCAACCGTTCGTTGTATGTTTTAGCCTCCAGCCCCCTAATCCTCTTGGTTGCTCTTCTCTGCACTTTTTCTAAAATCTCAGCATCTTTTTTTATAATGCCTAGCTGTACATTTGCTTTTCCTTGTCTAATTGTAAAACCTGTCTTTTCTCTACACTGAATTTCGTTTTGTCAGATAGGACCCAGTGTTTAAGTCTGTCACAGCTTTTAAACTTAAAACAATTTTCTGCACCTGGATGTGACACACTGCTGTCTCGTCATCAAGGAGCTCCTTGCATATCAACACCTGTATTTGTTGATCAGTTCACAGACAGCTTCCTAATTGCCCAGCAGAAAATGACACAGATGTTCGGAGGGCCACTAAATGAGATTTTTGTTTTCCAAACACAACCTGAGATTTAATTACGGGCACACTGAGTGCTTATTAAAACTCCCTTTCACCCATTGTTTTCCGGGGCTTGTGCATATTGAATCTAGCAGCAAATTGAGATTCTAATAATTATAAATCTTGCTTTTCCCAACGGCTTTGATACGAGGGCCTCGTATCAAAGCCACACAACCAGCGGAATCAAATCGCTCTTATGTGATAGGACTGTACGGTTTGGAGGGCCAAAAGAATATCCTAATTTCTTTTTAATTGGGTTTTTTTTTTAAATAAAAGGCTTTCCCTTAAAATCTGAAGCTTGATGGAGCTTTAAAAAAATGGTTTGCAGTTTTAGCATTCGTCATCACAAGTTACTTATCGGGATATGAATGAAAGGCTGCGCAAAGATTCCTTCCTTTTGAACGATGAAGAACAGCTACAGGTTTTGGGTCTGGCTAGTCTAGAGAAAAGAAGAACTAGGGGTGACCTGATAGCAGTAGTCCAGTATTTGAGGGGCTGCCACAAGGAAGAAGGGGTCAAATTATTTTCCAAACCACCAGAGAACAAGGCAAGAAACAATGGTTGGATACACATCAAGGAGAGAAGCAACCTGGAACTGAGAAAAAACTTTTTATTATTACCTTTATTGTCGGCGAACAACATGTGTACAACATGAGATTGGCTGAGCCTTCCTTCGTGCACACACACACACCCAACACAACTCACAGTAAGGACAGACGTCCCTAACCCAGTCCCAACCTTATTACACTACGTGACCTTGTTACACAACATGCAAGTCTGTCATACTATGTTGTCATGAAGTTATTTTCCATTCAGAAGTCTGACCGCCCACGGGTAGAAACGGTTCTTCAGCCTGTTGGTGCGGCTGGCAATGATTCCCTATCTCCCACCCAACGGTAGGAGATTGAAGAAGTGTGACCGGGATGTGAGTCATCCCTGAGGATTTTCCTCACTCTTCTAAGGCAGCGAGCCCTGGTGAGGTTATCTAGTGGTATCAGGGAACAGCCCACGATGTTTTGTGTTGTGCTCACCACCCTCTGTAAGTGTCTTTCTATCCGTGGCTGTCAAGCCAGCATACCACACCGTAATGCAATAGGAGAGGACCGCTTTGTATTGTGGACAAGTAAAAGGTGGTCATCAGCCGTTGTTCCACTTTATTCTTCCGCAAGACCCTGAGGGAATGGAATCTCTGTTGGGCCTTTCTGGCCATCTGGGTTGTGTTGATTTTCCAGGTGAGATCTTCGCTGAGGTAGACTCCCGGGAATTTAAAGGAGGAAACTGTCTCCACACAGCCCCCCTCGATGTAAATTGGAATGGGTTTCTCTCTCTTCTTCTGGAAGTCTAACACCGTCTCCTTTGTCTTGCTGATGTTCAGGTGCAGGTTGTTTTCTAGGCACTATGAGGATAATTTTTGAACCTCCCCACTGTACGCTGTTTCGTCTCCACCTGTAATGAGACCCAACACAGTAGTTGGACTTCCTAACAGTGAGGACAATTAACCAGTAGAACAGCTTGCCACTAGAAGTACTGGGTACTCCATCACTGGAGGTTTTAAGAAGAGACTGGGCAGTCACTTGTCTGAAATGGTGTAGGTCAGGAGTTGGCAACCTGCGGCTCTGGAGCCTCATGGGGCTCTTTCATCCCTCGGCTGCAGCTCCCTGTTGCCGGTCGGCTCCACAATTGATCGGGCTTTCACTTAGGACAGGGAGAGTAAAAAGGACACCAAGCCAGATTTACTTAACCGCTGTGTGACTAACTTAACTTGCAGTGATTCCCTTAACAATGGCGGCAAAAAAGGTTGTAAAATGGGTCAAATTCACTTAACAACTGTCTCGCTCAGCAACGGGAATTTTGGACTGGATTGCAGTCCTTACGTCGAGGACTCCCTGTCCTGGAATTGCTAGAAAAGGGCTTTGAAAGTTGGCAAAGAAGCTTCACAAGAAATATTTTATCGCTTTCAGTGTTGGGATTCAAAAAATTTTTTACTACCAGTTCTGTGGGTGTGGCTTGGTGGGCGTGGCAGGGGAAGGATACTGCAAAATCCCCATTCCCTCCCCACCCCACTAACCTGCTTTCCAGCTCCGTTCTCCTGTGCAAGAAGACCCAGCCAATCAGTTGGGACTCGGGAGGCGGAGAATAGATGGGGTGGAGCCAGTCAGAGGTGGGATTTGTCGGTTCTCCGAATGATTCAAAATGTCCGCTACCGGTTCTCCAGAACCTGTCAGGATCTGCTGAATACCACCTCTGCCCGCACCCCATTTTTCAGCTGTGGTGGCTTCCTGTAGCCATAAAAAGAGGCACAGGGGGTGCCACGCCACCTCCCTGAGTTCCGTTTTGCTGGCAGACACCCTGCAGGCCAGCCCCACAGGCCTTGAGTTTAGAATATCTATTTTAGAATATCAACCCTCAGTTGCAAAATTTGCAATTTATTGCACCCTTTTCCTTTCTCCGCAGAGTCTCAGATTAACTCGCGAGGTAAATGAGTAACCACCGTACCAAGGATTCAAAAAGGAATTTAAAACCACTACGGCAAATCCAGAAATATCATTTCAAGGGGAAGACACGGGGCGACCTCATGGGATTAAATAAACACCATCAGATCATCTGGCTATTAAGCCTGACTGTAAATCATTCAGCAAACATGCAGGGAGAAAAAAATATAGATTAAAATAAAAATAAATATAAATACAAGGAGCAATTTGACTAAAGGACGTGTCATCCTAATTCTATCAAGACTAACACGGGGGCAACATACAATTTATGCTGGGTTGTTTCTGTGCAGTTGCTATATCATTCACAAACATACCTGCTGTCAGGAGAGAAGCGCATATAAATTGCCCTGTATGATTTTGCTTTTATTTAAACATTTATTTCCTCTTATGTATGTATGTATGTATGTATGTATGTATGTATGGTATTCAGCTTTGTTCGGGTATTTTCCCACATCATTATAGTTGTGCTTTTAAAGTTGTAGCAACGTTTTGGCAGAATCTCATCTGCCACCATCAGGCTTCTGTATTGTGTTCGTCTGTGATTCAGGCTTTTACAGACTTTTACACTCACAGACGAACACAATACAGAAGCCTGATGGTGGCAGATGAGATTCTGCTTGGTGGGCATGGCAGGGGAAGGTTACTGCAAAATCCCCATTCTTTCCCCACCCCACTAACCTGCTTTCCAGCTCCATTCTCCTGTGCAGGGCAACCAAAGAAGACCCAGCCAATCAGCTGGGACTCGGGAGGCAGAGAATAGATGGGGACGGAGCCAATCAGAGGTGGGATTTGCCGGTTCTTTAAACTATTCAAAGTTTCCGCTTCTGCAGAACCGGTCAGAACTGGCTGAATACCCACCTCTGATCGCTTTCTCACCTCCGAAGGAGAATTGTATCATGCACAAGTAGCGTCACACCAGCCTCTGGCTAATGATCTCCCAGCTCTGGGTTCACTTATCACACTAAACCAAATGGAAATAAACAGCAGTTTCGCTTAGGCTGATATATTAACTCAGCGTTTACGTCTAGCAGAAAAGTTGCAATTCATTCGGGAGAATCCCAGTCCAGGAAATCTGTAAGTAAGGGCCAGCCATTCAAATCAGGATGAAGAATGATCGGGTTGGAAGGGACCTTGGAGGTCTTCTAGTCCAACCCCTGCTAAGGCAGGAGGCCCTATTCTATTTTGGACAAATGGCTGTCTAATATCTGGTTAAAAATCTCCAGTGATGGAACCTCTGGAATGAAGCTGTTCTCCCTTTAACTGTTCTCCATGTCAAGAAATTTTCTCCATTTAGGCTGGATCAATTTCTTTTTTTTTAAATAAACTTTATTGAACTTTTATTACATTAAAAACATAAAAAATATATCAGTCAATAACAGCTATTTGTAGTGCTTATCATGTGACAATAATTCGTGCATTATTTACAGGCATTAATTTATGCGTAATTACATTCTTATTCTATTACTTATATTTAATAATTACTTATCTTTAATCTATCTCCAATCTATCCAGCTATACCATTGTTCCCGCATCTTATAAAATATTGAAGCTTCTTTACCTTTTAAACTCAGCATTAATTTATCCATTTCAGCACAGTTCATAACTTTTTGTATAACCAGTTTCTCTGCTGGTATACATGGTTGTTTTCAACATTGCGCAAAGGCAACCCTGCCATCAATATATGTAATAATAAGTATTTTGTGCCCTTTACATATTTTTTTTGACGATCCCCAATAGGAAGAGTTCTGGTTCTAGGTCTAATTGTTCATTGGTGATTTCCTGCAGCCAATCTTTGATTTTAAGCCAATATTTACAAGCCTCTGGGCAAGACCACCACATATGATAATATGTTCCCTCTTTTTTTTTTTTTTTACATTTCCAACATATAGGACTCATTTTAGGGTACCTTTTCACTAATCTCAAAGAGGGTAAGTGCCACCTATAGAACATTTTATATGCATTTTCTTTGTAAGCTGCTGATTTTGTTAATTTGTGGTTTCTGTTCCATATAGTCTTCCAATCTGATAACTTTACATTGTGACCGATATTTTGACCCAGGGGTGGGATTCTACCAGTTCGCACCTATTCTTTAGAACCAGTTGTCAATATTCTAAGCAGTTCAGAGAACCAGTTGCTAGAAGAAATTACTGGGCTAATCCTGTAAGGAAGGCAGGAAGGAAACATTCTGGCCTTGCTTACAGAAACTGTCTCTCCATTAACCCTTATTAGATTCTTGGCAGGACTAGACTTCCTGTCTCAGGAACTTTTCTGGAGTTTTTTTTTCCTCTTTTGCTGGTACTTTGCTTGTGTGGAGTGACCATTCAAAGTTACAATGGCACTGAAAAACGTGACTTATGACCCCTTTTCACACTTACAACTGTTGCAGCATCCCCAAGGTCACGAGAGGCCAGGAGAGGAGATGTGTGCCTTGATGTGAGTGATGTTGAGTTGACCACGCCCAGCCAGTAACATGACCACCAAGCCATGTCCACCCAGTCACATGACCACCAAGCCACACCCACCACCTAAGCCAAACTCACAGAACCGGTTGTTAAAATATTTTAATCCCACCCCTGTTTGGACACCATGAGATCATGCATCCTTTCACTACTTCTTCTTCTAATTCTACTTCCAGGAGATATTTGTAAATTTTGGTATTAGGCTGGATCAATTTCTAATAAATCTCCATCTATACTTATGGCCAGAATTGAGCCCCAAGTTTCTGTTGCTAAGTGAGACATGGGGTTAAGCACATTTTGCCCCATTGTACAACTTTTCTTTCCTCTTGCCTCTCATCCAACTTCGAATCAGATCTGACCCTGCTTAGCATCCAGTTCCAGAGAAAACAAGATAAGTCCTGAGATTTACTCACTCATTGAAAAATCTAGAATCTAGGACATAGAACAACAGAGCTGGAGTTCATCTAGTCCAACCCCTTGCAGAAGCAGGAGAGTCTATATATACCATTTCAGACAAGTGGCTGTCCGGTCTCTTCTTGGAAGCCTCCAGTGTTGGAGCACCCACAACTTCCAGAGGCCAGCCTTTCCATACATTAATTGTTCTCACTGTTAGAAATTTTCTCCTTAGTTCAAAGTGGTTTCTTGATGAGTTTCCATCCCTGGTTTCTTGTTTTGTCTTCAATTGTTTTGGAGAATGGTTTGCCCACTTTCTCTTTGTGACAGACCCTCAAACACTGAGACAGCAAATGAATAGAACAGGATGGAATGGAGCCTAGAATGGAATGGAGCGGAGCGGAGCGGAGCGGAGCGGAGCAGAGCAGAGCAGAACAGAACAGAACAGAACAGAACAGAACAGAATAGAATAGAATAGAATAGAATAGAATAGAAAAGAAAATATGGAATGGAATGGAATGCAACAGGATAGAGTAGAGTAGAGTAGAGTAGAGTAGAGTAGAGTAGAGTAGAGTAGAGTAGAGTAGAACAGAACAGAATAGAATAGAATTTATGGAATAAGGATATTATTATGGATATTGTTATGGATAATAAGAATATTATTATGATTAATAATGAAACATCTGGAAGAAAACTACCAAACTCAGAATAGAATAGAATGGAAGGGAAGGGAAGGGAATAGAATTTACGGAATAAGGATATTATTATAGATATTGTTATGGATAATATTATTATGGATAATAAGGATATTATTATTAATAATGAAACATCTGGAAGAAAACAACCAAGCTCAGAATAGAATAGAATAGAATAGAATAGAATAGAATAGAATAGAATGGAATGGAATGGAATGGAATGGAATCGAATCGAATCAAATCAAATCGAATCGAATCGAATCGAAGGGAAGGGAAGGGAAGGGAAGAGAGTGGAGTGGAGTGGAGTGGAATGGAATAGGAAATAGAAGGGAAGAGAAGATAATAAAGAATAGAGAATAGAAAAGAAAAGAATAGCAGAGTTGGAAGGGACCTTGGAGGTCCTCTAGTCTAACCCCCTGCTCAGGCAGGAAACCCTATGCTATTTCAGACAAATGGATGTCCAATATCTTCTTTAAAACTTCCAGTGTTGGGGTTTTTCACAAATTCTGGAGGCAAGTTGTTCCAATGCTTAATGTGTCATGCTGTAGTTGTGAACTATGTTTCTTTCAAACACAGCCTTGGCAACATTGAAGACTTGTGGACTTCAACTCCCAGAACTCCCCAGGTTGGGGATCGTGGGCTAGTCCCCTCTAAAATCCTTTGTCAGGAACAAAATCCTTTCAGCGGTCCCAAAAAGTTTCCACATCCATTCGCAGTCTGATTCAGGCGACCCCGAGGGCACAAGATAAACCTCCACAGGGCCTCAACAATCCTCAGAGGGAGTACTAACAACCAGACGACTGCAAGGAATACGAATCCTTCCATTCTCCGCCATTCCGTCAGAACGGAAGAAGCCTTTTGGATGAGAAGCGAAACGTCTTCGAGGAAAAACAAAGGCCAGTTGCCTCTGGCCAAAAAAAACACAAAAAAACACATCTTTGTAACCCCACCAGTTGTGCCGAAAGCTACTTCCTCTTTATGCCAAGGATTATCCTTTCCCCTTCCCTATAATACGCCATTTTGAACCCCTCAAAAAAAGGGGGGGGGGTGGAGAACACCACAGGAAAACCCCTGCTCTTTTGTTGGTTAATGGTGATGTCTCAGCAATGGTTTTTGCGCACCTTTTCCACCCTTTTCCGTACCACACGTCAGAGGTCAACGCTGCAGAGGTTGACTTAGCTATCTGGCCCGCAGGAGATGTTTGAATACCTTAAAAGTGGGACAACAAAGAAGACCGAGGGTTCAGACAGAGACAAAAGAAGAATTGCTCTTTTGTCCCCCTCATCCAGATTTCTGGAACCCCGTTTCCAGGTTGCCTTAATTTTTTGATGTTAAGGGTT